GTTATCTTGTAGCCGTACGCGCCGCCGATACGACGCACGTGTACGTCGATCCTACAACATTACAAGTAACAACATAATCAGACCAGACATTTAGTAAATCAGCTTCCTCTACAACTACACACAAATTCTTGACGCGTATTCTTAAACTTTAACAGTTGTTTAAAAATTACTTCTATTTGCTTACTTGTTCTGTGGTAGATTCAATGCACGCGACGTGGCAACTTGCACCCCGTCCATCCACTGCGTGGCTGAGTGCACCTCCAAGCCCTCCTCGGTAGGCTTGCTCACACACACCAGCGTCTCCATACAAAAGTGATATTGCCCGTAGATAGTGAACGAACCATTTATCACTTTAATCACATCATTGCCCCTGTCCGTTTGTGGTATGTTCAAAAACATAGTATTTCTCCCTGCTTCATTTTTAGCTATTTTGACATCGAGAAGAGGTTTTTTCACATTTTTATAACTAACAGTTACCAATTGGGCGGCTCTGTCAGCTATTGCACGTGTTTTAGCGACAACTATTGCTATGGGTTGGTTATAATATTTGACTTTGCCGTCGCACAATAGTTCTTCGTTAATCGGACTCAGCAATGCACCGGACGGTGTATATGAGTTAACACCTGGTATATCTTTTGCTGTATAAAATGCTATAACTCCTGGTTCCCTCTACAATCACGAGATTTACATAATTCAAAGTGTAAAACTTTAATTCGAATACTATAGGTTTCTAATGTGATAAGTAAATTACATCAAATACTAAGTACTTAGATAGTTACCAAAGCTTGAGTGGAATCAACGAGGTCTATATCTCCGAGGGCCACAGAGCTGAGGACAAAGGAAGCGAACACCTCCCGTGGCAAAGGCGGTATGTCTTCCGCGTACATCGCCTCGCCTGAACATTGGATCTACAAATAACTGTAATAGCTTAATTAAGCCGCAAAAGTTTTACATCTAAAATTAATTCTAAGATGTAATCATATGGTTTCAGATAAATTGAGCTACAAACGAGTGCTATAAATCACTCACCTGCCCTTCCAGTTTTGGTATCGGTTGATTGAGAGGCCACAAAGTTGGGTTGGTATCAAATATTTGTTTGCCGTCAGACACCGGCCTGGTTTCTTTCAGTTTGATCGCACCTGATCTATACCGCTGGTGCAGAATGTCGTCAGGGCATAATGTTAATAGACCCTAAGATTTGAAATATACTTCATTGTCTTAACCAGTATAAAGGATAATATCGTATGACTATCAACAGACCTGATGAGACTGAAAATAATTCCGAGATATTAATTACTGTGAAAATGAAATACTCAATTGAATACCTTATAAAACAATGCCAGGGCCAACTGCCTCCTGTATTCTACTGATGCTTCTGGAGGATTGTCAGTCACCACCAACTCTGCGTTGAGGATATGCAGTGCGGTCTGCAGTGTCTCGTTTGTGAACAAAGATTTGCCGATCAGATACCGCTCAGTGTTGATTGCCCGCACAAATGTAGGCGACAAGCCACCGTACACTATTCTTGTTTCATGCACTATGTTATTATGTCCTTTGTACAGGAATCCCGCGTTCACTATTGCGTGAGCATTTTGAGCTCTTGGCATTACCTACAATACAGTATAAATTTATTTGGTAGTAGTTTAGTACGTTAAATATTTGATTATCAAATTAAAAATAATGGCATGAACCTTAAACGTCACCACTTTATAGTCTTTCAGAGGTGGAAAAAGCACATTAAGAATAATTTTTCCTCTCATGTTCTCATTTAGAAAGTTTTGCATCGTAACAACCTTGCGCAGTCCTGTGGAAAACACTAAAATAACACAATTTTAAGACTGAAAGTAAATGTTGCGAATTACATTTTTATAAAGAATAAAATTGTGTAACTAAATTATTCATTTTCTTTACTTACAAATTGTGATTTGAGCTCCAACGGTCTCGAGTAGTAGAAAGATATCTGATGGGAATTCACGATGCTCATGTTTAATCATCAGGTTTCCAGCAATTGTACCCAACTGAAACATTACATTGATTAAAAGAAGGATATTTTTATAAGAAAATGGGGCAAACTAGCGGCGGGGACACAGAGGTGGTCAACGACGCACATGGACATCCGCAACACCGGAGGAACTACTGATGCGTTGCCGGCCTTTGAGGAAACTGTAGGGTTATTTCTTGAAGGACCCTTATTAATTACCAATCCTACAATGTCACATTAGGTCTTGGAATATGAAGTTAAGTCACTAAACTTACATTTCTGACTGGTATGTGTGCAACGAGCGTAAGGTGTTCATGCAGCTTTAGGAGATATTCAAAGTAGTGATGTCTGGAGAGTCGCAGGAAAACTTCCATGACCTCGGTGATGGTCGACCCGGCGCCGATCACCAAGTTCTGATCCATCACTACTTGCTTCAGTTCACTCACCATGCTGATGTCAATCAATATTCTGGGATATCTGAATATCGGATATGCACCTGACCACCAGAATGTTATAAACATTTAGAAACTAACAAGATGGAAACAAAAATCACAAACACATTATCATTGACTATGAACTAGTTATGCGTTTAAAAGGTTATCGTTTTTGTTTTACTTTAATTACCCACATATAAGTATGCAACTCTATAAATTTGTATAATTATTAAGGAGTACAGCAGTAGGATTAGGTCTTAAAGTAGATGGATAAACTGCGTGAAGGGTGACGTGATTAAAAAGGGAGCGACGCTTGAAATGACGAAAATAAATCACGGTGCGCTAACGTGAGTGGAATAAGGACAGAGATTAGAGGGAGTGTAGTAGTAGTAGTAGTAATAGTAATTTACAGTATCTACAAAGTTATACCTTTAGCTGTGTTTCCTGCAACCAGCATGTAAGAATCGTCACCATTCACTCGCAGTATGTTGAAAGCATCGATTAGTTCCAAAACTCGAAACCATTCGCGTCCGTCTTCTAACTTTACATGATTAACTGTTTGTTTTTCAACGTCATCTTTGTTCACAATACACCATTCGGAGTCTTCACAATCGCTTTTACATTCGTCTCCGGTCTTTTTGCAAATTTGTAGATCCTCTATATCACGTATCTTGTCCGAATTGGGAGCATCTGTAGCGAATTTCTTAAATGCGTGTAGAATAGGGCGATAGCCGGTGCATCTGCAGACATTGCTTCCAAAAGACTGCTCTATTTCTAACATTGTACGGTCCTTTTTGCTCTGCAATAAACTTTTGTATTGAGTGTAATATTAAGAATGGTTACTAATCTGCTGTCGCTCGTGTGATACCTGTGCATGGCCATTACCCAGCCTGTGCTGCAGTAGCCGCACTGGGAGCCGTTGTTTTCCGCGAGTGTCTTCTGTATTACATGGTAACCTTTCAGTTTGTTCCCCAGGTGCTCAATGGTCGTCACGTCCCAGTCTTGACAAGATGTTACCGACACCATACACTGAAATAAAATTAATAGCATTTACTATAAACTTTCATGTTCTCAGTCATTATTACTTTTACTAGAATTGATTTTAACAAGTCAAGGTAAATAAAAAACTCCTGAATGTGCATCGCCGGCGGCGACATTAAGCTATATTTGTGAAGACAGAGGAATACAAGTTAGACCTACCGCGTTAACTGAGGTGTGTGTCGTGCCGGGGCACTTCACGGCGGTTACGATGCACGCGCCGCAGCCGGCCTCGCGACACATGTACTTGGTGCCTGGCAACCGCAGCGTACCTCTGATGAAGTCCAGCAGAGTCGTGTCCGAGCTTACCTCGCAACCCACTGGACAAAGCTTTAATCTTATTACTTGTTTTTTTTTAAATGTAGATGTGCCTCTTTGACCGGCACTTCTTAATAAATTGACTTACAAAGACGCCAGTTATAAAAAAGACAAACAGGAAAACTTCAAACTTTTAACCTTGTTACGTGCATTGTACTTTACAATTTCAAGAATCTTGCTGAACAAGATTTAACAGAGCACACTGCTACACTGTGGTGAAAGTGCATGACTTGAAATTTTAAAAACCGTTTTAAAACTGTACTTATAGTTGGTAATGCAATCATAATAATTTAACGATTGGGTAGATTTTTGAATGAGGTACGAAAACGAACGTGATAAATACTTGCATTAAGAGGCACAATTTAAAATCTCCAAAAAGTAAATTGTCCTGGCATATCCTAACAATTTCGTAGCAAAATGTTAACAATATCGCGGTACAGTGGTAGAGAAGCGCATTGGAAACAAACATATTAAAAAATTTAGCGTCACCCGAATATTTTAGACAATAATTACCTAAGTTCTGGTTATATTAAATCTTTAAATAACGAGGAGTAAGTAATATAGTCTACTGGCTTTCGCCCGCAACTCCGTCCGCGTGGAATTAAAAAAAACAGAAGTGATTTGCCTATGTGTTCTTCCTGACTATCCCCTATATCCATGTTAAATTTCATCGAAATCCGTTCTACCGTTTAGGCTACAAACTCTAACAAACATCCATTCATCTAAACTTTCGTATTTATAAAATTAGTAAGACTAGGGTTACAGTAATTACAAGAATTAAATCACCGCAATAAAAACGTACGAGTAGTTAACAAAAAATCTTATACAAAACATACCCGAGCACTCCACTCCGTTAACTTTGAACCTGATGCGATCCATGACCAGTTAGTTAGCGCACCGCACCACGACTGACCACTGTCACTACGCACACAATCTCACCATATCACGACCACCACTCCATTCTGTTATTATTTCAATCTCATGTAATTAACCCTTCAATACCGATGTAATTAAGGGTTGCTTGCCTCTGAATCTTAGACAAAACAACATAACAATTTCTTAACGAAATAAGTACGAGTATATATAGGCTTTTAATACTTAGACGGAAAGTTATCGATACCTTAATCGATTTAAGGCGGAATCCTATTTCCAATACGGAATGACCTCTGTTGCTTCTAAAAACGAAAATTATTACATTTGTTTTTGTACTTTCACATTGATACTTAAAGTTTGGTTTTATAAGTCTATTTTTATCAGGATATCACAAACAGTTATTATCAGAAACCGGGGTCAATAGGTCCCAGCCCGTAAAGCGGTCAGTTTTACGAGAGCATTTTTGCCAACTCTTTTATAAAATGTAATTTGTACAATATAAATATAGAGTATATTAAATTTGTACTTTAAAAGGTTCAACTCGAAATCAAATAAGACACATCCAATTTTGTTATCAAATAACAGTAAATTACCTTAACGCAAAGAGCGCTATTTGGACATACATTATTAACACTGATTTTGTTGCTCTATACTAATTTGAAATATTTCCTCTAATTTATTATACAATGTAATGCAACAACAGTAATGATAAGATTTAAGACCACGTTTCCACTGGCGCTACCAGCCGGGTAACTCGCATGTCTATTTATTACTGAGACGTATATAATGCATCTGTTTCAGCTGGCGCGGCGTGGACGCGACCAGACGCGCAGTGGAAGAGCAGTGTGTATAACCTACTTGTAGGTACATTATACAATGACGCCACGCTTAGCGGATCAACGAGAGGAAGCTTTTTTTAATTCGTCTGTTGTTACGACAGCGCGGTTAAATCAGCAAAAAGTTAATTTAAAATTCGATTTTATATATTTTTTTTGTACAGTTACATTAATTTACTATGCTAATTAATATGCTTTGTCGATGTAAATTTCGTTCAGTGCCTTTTTTTGCTCTTTGAAAATTGAACATATGGAATGATGATAATTATAAAATTCTTTTTAATTTGTATAAAGGTGTATTTACATTAAAAACAAGAAAGTTATATTCATAGAGAACAAAAAAGGGAAGTAATTTACATAATATTTAATTGTAGTTGGAATAACAATCAAAAATTCAAATGAAAACCTGTTCTTATATGCTTATTTATGAATTACTCATGAGTACATTAAAATGAAAAGATATAAAACATTAAAAAAATTAACATTAAGTTTTTTTGCACATGATTGTTAACCGACTTCAATAAGTAGGAGGTTCTCAATTTGTCTGTTATTTTTCGACAGTTCCGGCTCGATGCTAAGTACACATACAATGAGTTTCTATTTCATTTAAACGAAATTACTTCAAGGAGTTAGAATTAATTGATCAATTTGTTCTAACACCTACGAAATATTTGTTGCACTCAAGATTTACAAACGATGTATTATTGGAGGCCTGTCCCAACAAATTGTAAATTGTCTGATAAACCAACATGTAAAATATTTGATGGAAATTGCGGATTTTGTTCCCTTATCTGACAGTTACGTTATTTTTAAGCTATCTGAACCTCTATCAGTCAGTGGTGGGATAATCTTCATTGTAGACGTACTAAATGTAGAATTGAAAGTTAATACACAGAAATGAAATATTAGCATCGTATTAGTAGCTCATCCGCTGCGAGTGCAATCATGTGCAACAAGCACACGTCACTTCGAAAACTGGCTTCATATCAAATGTACCGTCTAATATCTGAAAATTACAACAATTTCCGTTCGCTTTCATGATTAATGTAACAATTTTAACGCTCTATGTTTAGTTAAACCTTTAAAAATACCGAAGGCAATTCAAAAGCGTTGCTACTTCTATCTTGGAGAATCCTACCTAATTGGTAAAGGTTGGGAAATGCTTGTAGACATATTATGCAAATGAACGACAACATGGGCTTGAAAAAGTGAGGCGTAAAAATTAAACTAAAAATATATGGACCCTTATACGCCGATGCTATGTGAGTAGGACAGTCAGGGAGATAATGATGACGAAATATAATATAAGTACTTATAAGAAAAGTTGTACAATTGCTGGCATTGAAAAATAAGTCAATCACTCAATAATCGCAATGCAATACTGTAATAAAAATAAGTTAAAAAAACGGCTAATGTACTTTCGTCCACGTGTGGTTAACGGTATAAAAAAGAATCTTAGTTATTTTACACACTACTTTGGATAAGCAATAAAACTATTTAGTTTATTTCATCAACTACTCACAAAAAGTATGTTATCGTGAAAAGCAAGATAACTTTAACTGGCGTTGGTCAACAAAATTTAAGATAGCGAATTGTGTTGAATCTATAAAAAAAATCTTTTGCAGTTATAAATGATGAGTTAGCATCAGAGGTAGTTAGAATATTTCGTTGCAGTCAGTGACCCTGACTACGATTGCAACTGGACGATACATATCTAAACGGGTTTCATAATTAGATTAATAGATTCTTTAAAAAGTTATGCTAAGACCGCAGTGGCAAGTGCTATAAGCGTTAAAGCAGAACAGACAAATAATAATAAAAAATCACTAGACAAATGTAAAACTTGTATTGCTTAGTTTAATACTTTTAATAACAATCTTGTCGCGGTAACAAAAATATAGTTTGTTTATTTCATCAACGTAGGATTTATCGTACCAATGGTCACTTTCTTCTTCAACGGATAATCAACTGTAACACTCTCTATCTTTCTCGCTACTTCTTCAATTTCCTTCATTTGTCTTTCTTTGTCTTCGGGTTGTTGTCTTCTGAATCTATCTTCTGGCTGCGTGTACACTATTTTTGTAATTTTTTTCTTTTCCTCGGCAGCAGCATTCTGGAAATATTGTCTACAATTGTGAACTATTGGTTCGGACAATTGTCTCGTTTTAGGGAAGGCCTTAAGACTATCTTCATACTTTTTCCTACACGCGGGGCACATAAGAATAGCGTTGTAAGACCGTTTATTTTTATTGTACCCATTTTTCAGCTCTATTCCGTATAAACTTTCAAGACCTAGGTTCTGCCCATCCACCGTCACCGATTCTCTGTTACTGACTTTTGATCGCTTCACAGTTTTTTTCTTACCATCTTTCTTCGGCGTCATCGAGGTGGTGGTCTTATTACGGAAAAAAAATGGGAACTTGAAATTTTTCAACACTCTGCAATGAAAAAACACTTTGGATAATAAAATATTTTTAATACATAAAAATAAGTAAAAACATTTAAAAAGTTACCCTTTCTTTTCTGGATGATGGATTGCGGTATAATCTATCAGATTGTTATGATAATTTTTCGGTGGATAGTCTTGATTGCTGGCGGAATTGTCTTTCTTAGATTCCGCCAGAGACACGAAGTCATAATCGAATTCCTTCTGGTTCGCCGACTCGTCTGACGCCTTCACTGGCTCCGTCGCTTTGGCCACGTCGGAGTCTTCTATGTTGAGGTAGTCTGTCCAACTGTCACGTCTGTCGTCACCTGAGTTTTGATCCATGAGATTCTTAAGGTTTTCGTAATCCATATAATCATTTGAACTAAATTTTCTGTAGCTGAAACGTAATCAAACATTACAACGAGATAGATTATGGTTCTAGAATCACCTTGACCAACATAGAACTATACCATAATTTTAGAAGATTGCAAAACAGCCATGAAGACGTAATTCATATTTGTAATATTTACAGAAATACTATACACAGTAGACACATGAATACGGAAAATTATAAGAGTAATATTTCATTCACAATGCACTTGTTATTATTACACGTTTAGAGTTTAGATGTAATAGACCGACAAGATATCTGACCCGGTGTGCATCTATCTGCTACCTTGTTCACTTTCTCTGTCGGTATTGGTTTCACATAATTTCTAAGAGAACAAACTGATAGCAGTGCTCTGCTCACCGGGCTAGAGAGCCTTGTTTGACTATACTCAGAATAAGGAATTACAGTCAACAGTATGAAGGTGAATGCTACGTACTCTTTCCGCTTCACGTCCCCGTACTGCAGCTTGTGCAGCTTCTTGTTGGCGGAGTTCTGTATGAAGCTGGCGACGTCGAACTGCGCCACCGGCTCGTTGTTGTCCAAAGGGACCTCGTACCGTTTCTTGTACAAATTTCTCTTTTGTGTTTTTAACTTTTTATAATGGCTCACAAGGTCGTGTCTATGATTCCCCTTCAGTCTAAAACTCCTTGATTCATTATTTATATAATCATAACAAAACGATAAGTGAACATAAAATAAGAAACTTAGTAAAAAATATCGTAACATCTTTAGCGTGACATGATCTGTCAAGACGTGAGCAAATGTTCTTTTAAAACATTAAATTATCACTCTACAAAAAGTTCATTATACATACATTTTCTTTGGTGAAACCTCTTTAGTATATATATGTACAATTTGTTGTTATTATGTATAGTGGGTAATACAAAAATTAATAATCCCTACTAACTTGACCCTTACCAGGTCACGAAAAAAGATCCGAACACTTTCCTTTTCACAAAATTTCCGCAGTTTAGGGCAAAGGTGTCCAAAATGTAACAGAATATCCCTATTTGTAGACCGGACTCCGAATGATCTATACCATGATGTAATATGAACATACATCATAATGTGTAAGGGATGTTCCTATAACCGCAAGGTATACTTCGACGGAGCCGACCCTTGCGTGACGCCCGCGTCGGCGACGCAGATCAGACTTGCCTAATGGTGTGGTCACCGTAAATCTCCGTAATTTATTGTAACCATTTGTCGGCATTTGGTAAATTGACCATGAAATATCATTTTACGAGATTGTCTTACGTCACAAACATAACAAAATAACTTTAATATCTAAGTAGATATTCACTCTATATTAAGATAGTATAATTTGAATTCCTTAAAGACATTTTCGGTTTCAAGAGCACAATTACATATTTTCAAATTGCTTTTGACTTTGTAAGATGTACATTTTGTGTTTGTTAAATAAACATCTGAAAACGAAAGTCCACTGGCTAATAGTTAACCATGGCAATTTCCAGAAAGAAGCCATGGCTTCGAGCCCCTTAGCAGAGATTGCAAGGAATTTTTCTTCCATTTACAACCAACTATTAAGTAAATTATAACAAAAATCCAATTATCCTGCAATATACTAAGTTGTTGTCACTGTAGCGTTCCGCCTGCTTTATGTAAACGCTAAGTTATGCGAAAGGGATTCAACTAACTTGTAGTTTGGAAAGGATCACGCCTCACTATTGATGTGTTCCTAAGGTAGAACGGACATTTTCTAAATTAATACAAAGTTAAAAATTACTGTACTAAGCACAATATTTTCCATGCTTGTGTTGGTACCAAACATAAAGCGTAATATTGACATTAGTTAAAATAGATCCGTTTTGCAATATAATTACTGTGAAGTGTGTATATATCCGTATTCCCTAATTTTAAACAATCACTGTAATTCAAATCTACCAATGAAAGACAAAACCATCGAAAAATATTTCTTAAAGTTTGCTCCTTGTGCAAATGTTGTATCACATCGAAGCCACATAAATCGCATATTTCGGGTCTGAACTAAATCCTTTAAGCCTATCGGATCAAATATGTTACCTGTTGAGTTAGGACATTATCCTCGAAAATATTGTGAAAATACAAGCCTTGTAAAGTGAAAACACGCGCTGAATTATTTATGATACCTGGAAATATGTGAGGAAAAGACCTGCTTTTTGTAAAGAAAATCTTTTACATGGTTTTCTCTATTTTACATAAGAAAATCAACGTTTAACAAGAAACGTAAACACGCAGGAATTTACTTATTAAAACGCTCTTAAATATTAATATAATTTGCTTAAATATTCCGTCATCTACATCGAATACCATAGGAAAAGATCAGTTGTGGAATTCGCGAGGCATGTCGAAGGGCTAAGGGCTAGTTGGATGCCTTCCTTCAAACGACGACATTGAAGCCGCGTTCCTGGAAATCTCAAAATATTATGCTGTAATCAAATTATTAAAATAACCTTTGTCGACAAAATGTCAAATATTTAAGAGCGAAATACAAACTACAATGTTTGTATTTATTTAATTTGAACAATTTGGAAATCGAAACCGGAAAAAATGTGTTAAAACACCTATATAAAAATATAATTAACTCTTGTTTTTTTTAAAGAATGCTAGTACTTGCATTTTTTGTAATTACGTAGGTCTACAAACAAATGGTGTCCATTATGCGCACATAAAAGAGCTTATTAATGCAAGACAGTATTTTAGATCTCTTAACAACTGAGAGCGTATACTCTGATAAATGTAATTACGTGATATCTTAAATAGAAGGTAGATAGAGGCCGAAATAACTGAGATAGCGCGGAGGGAGCCTCGCCACAACCCATTAAGGAATTTTGGTGCGGTCGCGCAGAAAGGCCCACCGACCTTACTTAATAGAGATGTCTAGTGCCGACTTAACTTAATCTTGAATAACATAAGAACTCACAGAATTTAAAATGAACAGTTTATTCGTTTTAGAAGGTCACAAATTCACAAACAACAATGATAGAACTCAGATAAGCTGAAGAGAGTTATCGCGCGTGTCTTATAATTCTTTGAATTTCATTTCTATTTCATGGGAATTAAAAAAAATGATGAAATGTTCATTATTTTTTTTTCTTTTTCACGCTTTTATTTGAATATATGTTTTCTTCTTCGTTTCTATTAGGACTTGTCTATTTGGAATATACGTTAATACATAACCAAATAAAATATTAGTTTCTTTGATTAAAAAATATAACAATGTAAATTAATATTGACTGCATCTTTACTGCGTTTAAACGTTAAAATTAAAAAAAGTTACCGCACGCTTAGTAAAATATTCTTAAGACGTAAAATTATTAGATGTTAATCTCATTTTATGTGGACCGCTTATTTAGTCCACTCACTTTCACCTTTCTACTAAGTTTATCTTATTACAACCTACATATTAAAGGAAGAAAATTATATGAAACCATGAACGGTCCAGTGCGTAGTGCCCGGTGTCGTATCTTCATTATTTTTGAACCATGAAATCTCTAGAGATGGATATCTCGTTGCTTGGAAATAACAGCTTCTGCTTCGTTCCAACTTTAACGCACCAACTGATGTTCCTGAATATTTATTCTATCACAGTTTTTAATAATTCGAATTCTCACTTTTTTTTTACCTTATTTTTAAACATATCTTTTCTGGTTCTTGGTACACTTTTGTAATTAGAACAATCTTACTAATATTATAAATGCCATAGTTTAGATGGGTGGATGGATGGATGGATGTTTGTTAGAGCTTGCAGCCCAAGCGGCTGAACGGTTCTCGATGAAATTTGGCATAGATGTAGAGGATAATCTGAAAGAACACATAGGCTACTCACTTTTGTTTTTTTTTAATTCCACGCTGACGGAGTCGCGGGCGAAAGCTCGTATAACTATAAACTGCCAATTTCTGTTTTAAACCGCCTTTTGTGTTAATATTTTCTTTTCTGTAATATATTTTAGCAAGTACAGTAGAACCTCGATAAGTTAAAGTCCAAGGGAGACAATAAATGTTTTCAGTTATCAAGGGTCTATATTAAGGATATAAATATCGAGGTTTTACTGTTATTATAGAAGCCACCGAGCTGCCTAGCCATCTAAGCTAAGTTAATAAGTGGATTTAGCAACTTCATCGAATGCAAATTCTGTAGATCGATTACTTGACGATTAACTTGGATTTGGAAAGTTCCGTGGTTTTCCATTTCCGTAGTTCCGGAAATTCCGAACCACGTACATTATGTTACAATAGCGTGAAAAAATGTAAAGTTTTTGGTAGCAATTTGTTGAGTGAACATGACACATTTTCATAACTATAAACGTTTATTGTATTTATTTAGAATATAGAGTTAAAACATCTATAAAAAGCGCCCGTATAATTTGCGATCAATCGTGCAGAAGTGAATTTGTTTGCTATCGTTTTGCAGCAGGCGCTATCGCCCGCACTGTTATAGTAAAACTGTATTGCTTTCATTTTGGAAAATGCTCCACAAAATTATTCTCCCTTTTTTTTAATGTATTCATTTACGCATTACTTTAATATACGTTAAAAATAAATAATGCATTGCAAGTGAAACTATACTTCTTTAGAAGAAATTTTGAGAATTTTTAGAAATAACGATTTATGACTGACAGCTTCTCGAAAATTTCCAACTGAAACTAGGTTACACCTCAGATGTGACTGATTAAAACGCAACGTGTCAGCGGTGTGTAGGGCTCGGAGAGGCAGCAGCGCGTGAGGACGCTGCGAGGCAGCAGTGAGAGGACTCGTGGAGGCAGCGACGCGGGCTAACGACGGGGAGCGGCCGCAGGAACCTCAGGCGGTCTCTAATTGCTCACGGTGGTATTTAATGAGCGACAGAGATTATTTGAGAGTTTCCGCACGCACGTGTAGTCGCCAAAGACGACTGTGACTTCAGGTCAATTAAAACCTTTGGTGTAATTCATATTAACTATTTTTTAGATAATTTCTTAATATAGTTGGCGAACTGGCAACGAAGCGAAAACCCCTGCAATTGTACTATCGCGCAAGTTGCCTCGTAAATCAGTCAGAGGGCGGGCTAGCAAAACGACTGTATGGTTACATCTTGATACATTTCCCTCTATTATATTACTTTTAGCTTTCCAAAATATTGGTTCTTTTTCGAAGCTCTATCATACAAGTCTTTGGTATTTGGTAACAACAGAAAATGGCAGACATTCTAAACATTTCGTGAATCAATTACGAGTATAATGTTTGGAAACTATGATGTATTGCCGAAGGTTGTCAAAATAACGACATTCTATTTTTTATTATGCTATTGTCTCTCGAGGAAGGAACTTTTAAAATGCCATGATAATGTAATTGACAAGAGTTTTAAAGTTATTGTTAAGGTTTTTTACAAATAAAAAACAAATGAGTTGCAAAATTGTATATTAAATTTTAATTTGATCTACAATTACATCACAGTTGTACAAAATAAGAAAGCATTTTATAAGATAATTGTATTAAATATGTGACATTGTTGTGAAAACAGATGACAAACAAAATGTAACTATTGAATCTTAAAGAAGTCTGGAGCTGTTGGCTGTTGTTGGACCTGATAACATTACGAACTAAACATTTACCACTACAAGTATACCTACTTTAGACTTTAAATAATAAATTAAAAATAGCACTTCCTACATCATATAATATAGATAGAGATATAAAGATTAAAATGTTGATGATATAAATATCTGTTCATATGCGTTAACAATAAATTAGCTTTTAAAAAACTATTTTGAATGAAACAAAATAATTATTATGTGCATACGAATTGATGACATAGTAGCATATACCTAAAATACGGTTTTGATGTGATGATTGAAGATAATGAACGGTGATGATTTGTTATACGTATTTACTTTCACATAATTTACATTAAACCTATTTATATCTATAATAAGAATTTATTTACATTTTATCATAAGTTCTTTGAACCAATAATACCATTTTTGACTACTATTGAAACTTAATCTTATATCATACTCTATCATTGTTGGTTTTTATTGAAAATGGATTGTGCGTATTTTCCGAAATATTGTACAGCTGGGAATGTTGGGGCCGCTGCCGATTGACCTTTGTACCCCGGATCGGGTTTTGAATACTGAACTTGTGGTTGGTACGACTGAGGCTGGCTTTGTGGCAGAACTTGAGGTTGAATTTGCAGTTGATGGCCAGGTCTAAAGTACGACAGATTCCCGTGTCCTGACCCTCCTTGGGATGACGCTTGGTGAACGTTCTGCTGATATAATGGATGATGTATAATGGACTGAGCTTGGTCTTGAGAGAACTTCGTGAAGCTTACTGGACCCTGAGGTTGCGTTTGATAGTTCTGAAAAAAATAATTAAGTTTATGAGCATGATCCATACTGAATAAATACATTATTAAACGATCGTCGTTTGGTTTTATCAGGAGAAAAATTTATTACAAATCAATACCTGCGCTGCAAACTGTTGCCTTTCAAGTACTCTGCTCTGTTCGGGCTGACTGAACACTTTCTGTTGAGTGTCGTCCTGTCGGTACGCGACAGCCGGCTGGACGTACTGGATATTCTGGGCGGGTTCCTGCGCGTACTGCTGTTGATA